ACAGTCAACTAACCAAACAATCAATCAACCAGCCAACCAACCAACTAACCAACCATCCAATCAACCAACCAACCATCCAATCAACCAGCCAGCCAACCAACCAACCATCCAATCAACCAACTAACCAACCATCCAATTAACCAACCAACCAACTAACCAACCATCCAATCAACCAGCCAGCCAACCAACCAACCATCCAATCAACCAGCTAGCCAACCAACCAACCATCCAATCAACCAGCCAGCCAGCCAACCAACCAACCATCCAGCTAGCCAACCAGCCAACCAACCAATCATCCAATCAACCAGCCAGCCAACCAACCAACCATCCAATCATCCAATCAACCAGACAGCCTACCAGCCAACCAACCAACCGTCCAATCAACCAGCCAGCCATCCAATCAACCGACCAACCACTCAAACAGGTATTTTCCATTTCAATTTTTGGTTCTACGGCGAGTGGAAGGAGGTGATAATAGATGATCGTCTACCCACTAGCCGCGGGAAAAAGTTAGTTTTTTGCAGCAGTAGAGAGCATCCGGATGAATTCTGGTCGGCCCTCTTAGAAAAAGCCTACGCAAAGTTTTTGCTCTTTATTGTTATATTTTTTTAATTATTCCTCTGTGGTTTGATGTATTTATTTCATTTTTTACTTTAAGTTTTATATATTCATATTAATCAATAATTATATTTTATAATTATATTAATAAATATCACATATGTTATATTTTTCTAATTATTCTTCTGTGGTTTGATAACATTATTTCATTTTGTACTTTAAGTTTTTTATATTCACATCAATAATCAACCAATCAAATGGGTAAATTAAAAAAAACTCTTCAACAGACTTGCGGGGTCATACGAGGCCCTGGACGGTGGGTGGATTGAGGACGCCCTGGTGGATTTCACAGGGGGCATAAGCCAAAGAATAAGTTTAAGGGACACCAAACGTCTGCCGAGAAATTTCTTCAACGTTTTACTACAAAACAACATGATGAACTCTCTCATGGGGACATGTATTTATGTATGTTGGGTTTTTTTGTGGGGGTTTTTGAGGGACAGCCCCATTTTTTAGGGGGCGAATCATTTTTAGACATATTTTAGAGATACTTATTTTCTTCTATAAATTTTTGATAAAATTTGATCATAATTTTATATTGGCTACCTACCTTTATATGTGCGCTACATTATTTGTAAGGGCCTTTTTGGGTGAGTTAAGGGGTAAAATGTATAAAAGCACTAACATATATAATAATAAATTAGTGAAATATTTATTCATTTGGTAATTTTAATTTAAAATTTTTAAAAAAGGCGACTCGACTGACAATGGAAAAAGAGTTGGATAATGGCTTGTTTGTTGGACACGCGTATAGCATCACCGAAGTTCTTCAGGTGAGATTCATGTTGTTGATTTGCATCTTTTCAATTTGGTTCGTTACCGCGGATTTGTGGCTTTTTAATTTAGCTAGATGTTGTCAATTTGTAGACTTTTCAAATTAGTTTGATGTTCTTTATTCGTAGTTTATCATAAGTGATTTGTTAATGGGTAGATAGATTGTGTGAATGAATAGATTGTGTGAATGAATGATTGGTGATGAATGAATGAATGACTGGTGAATTGATTGTCTGACTGTTTGATTTTTCGATTTTTCAATAAATTGCATAATTGATTGATTAATGAGTATTTGATTGACTGATGGATAAAATAAATGAACGAATAAAAGTTTGAAAGTAGCGGAAGTACATTCCAACTGCTAAGGTTGAGAAATCCGTGGGGAAGGTTGGAGTGGAGAGGGAAGTGGAGCGATAAGTAAGTCATGATGATGATGATGACGACGACGACGATGATGATGATGACGATGATTTAATGATAGATCGAAAGAATGGATGAATTTGAACGACAGAAAGAGAAGTGAAATTGGATTAATCATTGAAGAAGATGGTGAATTCTGGTCTGGATCAACATTTTTTATTTATTCATTTAATTATTCATTCATTTGTTCATTCATTGACTCATTGATTCATCCATCCATTCATCCATCCATTCATCCATCCATCCAGGATTTCATTCGAAGACGTAATGAGGAATTTTGACGTGTTGCAGATTTGTCACTTGCCTCCATCTTGTGAAATTTTGAAGGTATAAACGAATGAACGAGTGAATGAATGAATGAGTGGATGAATGAATGAATTAATTAATTAATTAATAAATTATTGGATAATGAATGAACAAACTAACGGATGGATTGTTGAGTAGATAAACAAACGAACAAACAAATAAGTCAGTCAGTCATTTAGTTAATCAACCAACCAACCAACTTACCAACCAATTAACCATCCAACCAACTAACCAACCAACTAACCAGCCAACCAATCAATCAACCAACCGACCAGGATAAAAAGCCCTGGATAGGGATACGGTACAACGGCACCTGGACGCGAGGGGTAAATTCCGGAGGCAGTGACTACTTCAGAAAACACGGTACCCTCCTTCACAACAACAACAACAACATCAACATCAACCACAACAGCAGCAACAACAACAACAACAACAACACCAACAACATCAACAACAACAACAACAGCAACGACAAACCCACACCACGCAGGCTCCTACTGGACGAACTCGCAGTACTCAATACAACTGGCAAACAACGACGACGTTGACAATTTGATGAATTTGGCCTGGAAGGCGAAGGGCAACACTCCTGACGAGAATAGCAACAAGTGTTGCATCATCATCTCACTGATGCAGAAGCATTCAAAAATGGCGCGAACTCAGCTTAGAGTCCAGTATACTGAAATACCTCTCTTATTTGATCTCTACAAGGTGGTGTTAGTCTGCTGGTTACCTGCGAATTGTTACTGATGATGATGATGATGACGACGATGACGATGTTTTTGTTGTTGTCTGGTGGTGGTGGTGGTAATGATGATGTTTGGTGGTGATGATGATGATGATGTTTGGTGGTGATGATGATGAGGATGTTTGGTGGTGATGATGAGGATGTTTGACGGTAAAGAGGATGATGTTTGGTGGTGATGATGATGATGATGTTTGGTGTTGATGATGATGATGATGTTTGCTGATGATGATAATGTTTGATGGTGATGATGATGATGTTTGGTGGTGATGATGGTGATGTTGTTTGGTGGTGAGGATGTTGTTGCTTGGTGTGATGATGATGTTATTATTATTGTTATTATTATTAATAATGTCAAGGTCAACGATGACGCTCCTGACGTCCAGGTGTACGATAGCGGTCATCTGACCTTCCTCGTTAGGACAGGTAACGAACGAACGAATGAATGAATGAATGAATGAATGAATGAATGAATGAATGAATGAATGGTTGAATAAATAATTGTTCAATTATCTTTCACACAGGAAGCGATAATGAATACTTCCGCGAAGTTTCAAATAACTTCTTCTTAGATCCAGGTTTTGCACTACTCTCATTCACTCTACCATTTTGTAAATTTCTTCATCCCTCATTCATCCATCCTTCCATCCATCTATCCATCATTCCATCAATTCATCCATCCATTCATTTGCCTATCCATTAGGGTGGTTCAAAAAAAATTTTTTTTTAATATTTAAGTGCACACCCCTTATAATTTTTCCTTAGCTGAAAGTTAGCATGTGTGCAAAATTTCATTCAATTCTGACAATATTTAGAGGTTGCTCAATGACATTCAGTTTTTCACCATATTTAGCATATAAGCGAATATTGGTCAGTGCTACAATTTTGTGTTTAATGTTTATTTTGCAGTAAAATGAACAACATTCTTGTGAAAATCATGTAAGATTTAACAGTTCTACAAATTTATACTCAAATTAACAAAATATTCAACACTAAATAAACAGTTCTCACAAGGTAAAGGCAACTTGATTATGCCAAACGAAAGTTCAGTACTGTTAATCTTTGATTGAGAAACTGAAATTAACTTGAGGCAATTAATGTACTCAGTTTATGTTTTTCTGTTAATCACTCATAGTATGTCAGACTCAAAACATAGCAGCAGCTGCTTGAGCACTGGCTAATGTGCGCTTAGAGGAGTCCGGAATACGTGTTCGATTGTCCTCCACCACCTGTATCAGTTTTTGCAGGTCTGTTTCATTTTTGGTTATAGACTGGTTAAAATTTGTCATGAGTGCCACAGTGCGTTCTGCAGTGTCATTAACGACCTTAAGTGACTTCACAACATTTGCTACTTTTTGAAATAAAAGAAGATCATTCCATGAGTCTGGTTCAGTTTCACGCAAGATAGCAACATCCATTCCAAGTAATAACAATGCAGCACGAGATGTACCTGATACCAGATCATGCAGTGGTTTGCTTTTCACCTGTTCCAGTTCAGTTGCAGGATATTTGACACCTCGCACACTCCAGTCAGAATCTACTGCAGTCATTGCTTCCACAATCAACTGCTTCTCAGCATTTGCAACCTTATTTGAGAACAATGACAGCCAAAACATTTCTGTACCGAGATACCACGGATGATTCTTCAACTTTTTTGTGGCAGCACTTGCTACATTCTTGTTGATTTCAGAATATTGTTCAATTCTGCTCAGAAGTTGCAGGTCATTGACTGGTGCATCACTGGGTATTGGGCACAACATCCATGCTGGCACATATATATGGGTTGCAAATAGGCAGAATTCAGTTAAACTTTTTGTTTCAGTTGCTGTTAGCTTGAATTCATTGCGGAACAAATACATTTTGAGACAGTAGATCACTTTGGCCATCCATCTGGCCATGTGATATGCTCCAGGAACACGGAAATGGTACTTGCCATCAGTCTGCATTGGATAACCCAGCACTAAGAGACAGAGGGGGTTTCTGTCACGATCCTGAAATTGTTGACGAATACTGCTGTCAATGGTTGATCGATGTTGCTGTCGTTTACGATGAACTGTGGAACGTGACAGAGATGTATCCCTGATGTCTTGCCCACTAGCTTGTGCAATGGCTGCTGCTAATACTGTGAACTTTCTATCTGACTGGTTTATTCTATCCAGTGCTGAAGCAACATCTGGCGACAACAACATATCCTGCAGAGTTCGTGTTTTTTTGCTGGCACTGCTTGACAGACTGTCTTCTACTTCACTGATCTGCTTTTTGTAGTACACTGGAATTTCAATTTCATAGTTGTCCTCTGTGTCCTGCTGTTCACTATCACTGTCATCAGAACTAGATAAATGTAGTGAGGTACTTTCTGTCATCCGCTCCTGCTCTCGCTCTTTTCTCTCTTCTTCTTTGCATTTACGTTGTTCTGTGCGCTCTTCTTTCTTGGTCAGGTCTTTATCAATGCCACTCATTTGCATTCGTCGACTGCCCCTCTGGTCTTGAAGAAATTCTATATCTTCCTGAATTCAGATGAGCTGCATGGCGTGTTGGTGAGCAATATCAAACAGCATGTGCTCCTTTTCTTCAAATTCCTTCTCTCGTGCTCGTTGTGCTTCACTTTGTCTGTTTTTGTTCTTTTTTATTAGCTTGTAGTCATCAACTACAGACTTTACTTTTTCTACAACATGAGTATGGTAGGTTGTTGGTATTCTAGCCTTGTTCCACATGTCCATGACCTTATCTGACGACAGTTTTGCACTTTCAGGCACAGTTTTCTTTTCTACTTGATGATAATAAAAAAACATTCTCAGGACATCACCTGTTGTAGGCAATACATTTACTGGAAGTTCACTTTGTAACTGTCCAATCAGCCATATGTTAGTCATGCTGCGTGTTGTAAGAGCACCACAGTTTGAATTAGAAGCCATTTTATACGTAGTTAAATATGTACAGTACCGGTATTTCAAAATCACCTCAAATTACTAGTAAATCGACACAGTTAAATTATGCAGATATTTATCCTATTTTACTTTTTGCTGACAACAAATATGGTGATCATAGAATATTTAATAATAATAATGCATTTTAAAATATCTAATATCTATGTTTTGAATTAAGTAAGTAACCAACTTTTGATACTTTTCCAGTTATATTTGTATTTGGTTTCGAAATAATGAATTATCACATTTTTATATAATTTGGAGATGCATGAGCAACCTCTAAATTTAATTTGATTTGTCTTATTTTTGGTTTGTAAGTTTTTAGGACCCAATGGAAACTTTTCAGAGGGTGTGCACTCAAATCAGACAAAAAATTTTTTTCCCCATTCAAATGTGAACCACCCTACTTTCCATCCATCCTTTCATTCATCCATTCAGGTCGTTACGTCATCATCCCATGCACCACGTCACAGAATGTACAAGCGGAATATCTTCTTAGAATCTACACGGACTCCGTGGCCGAAGGAAGGTGAGATGTGGATGAAGAGAAAGAGATGGTGAGAGAGACAGAAAGAGATGGAGATAGTGACTTACAGACAAAGAGAGAGAAAGAGAAAAAGAGAGGTTAAGAGTAAGAAAAAAATTGGCGAGAGAGAGGAAAGATAACGAGGCTGAAGAAAGAGGAAGGGAGGGGAAAAGATAGAGTTCTGAGTTTTCAAATTGAATTTATTCTTTCTCTCATTCTCTCATTCCACATTCCACCATTCCTCTCTTCTTTTCTTCCTCTCTTCGTTTATTTTTCATTCATTCATTCATTCATTTCATTCATTCGTTCATTCATTCACCTGTCAATTATATATTTCCAACCTAATAATCCAGAGAGCTGGACATAAGGACAGAAAAAATAATGGTTTGAAACTAACATGCTTAACATTCGTCACCACCATCGTCATCATCGTCATCGTCATTATCATCATCATCATTATTGTCATCATCGTCATCATTGTCATCATTACCATCATCCTCGTCGTCATCGTCACCTTTCTTAGGAGACAAAGGCCCCAAGAGATAGGTTGAAATTGTTATTCGATAAATACGCTGGTAATGATGGTGTTATTGATGCGAGAGAGTTACAACTCATGTTCAACGATGCTTTTAATGATGGTAGTTATGTGTGTGTGTATGTATGTATGTTTGTATGTTTGTATGTATGATGTATGTATGTTTGTTTGTTTGTTTGTATTATTATTATTATTATTATTATTATTATTATTATTATTCAAAAATTTGTATAGCGCTAATTACAAACAAAAGCACTGTCTAAAAAAAAAACCTTTGAATTGCTACGATAAACCAAATCTTAAAATCTTATAATGAAAACAAAAATGATTTCAATAATTTCTTGAACAATTTTTCTGTCAGTTCGGGCTGTCTTAGATGACTTGGTAGACTATTCCAAACGGCTGATCCACATACTGAAAAACTTCTCTCAGCCATTTTCAAGTTGGTTTGGGGCACACATAACAAGTTGTTATCATCAGACCTTAAGCAGACATTTTTAAAAGACAGTTGTTTCGGTGCATGCATTTCTTTCAAATAAACTGGCGCTATTCCCTTTATACATTTGAACATGATTGTTGATATTTTGAACAAAATTCTTTTTTTGACCATCAACCAGTGCAGTTCTCTGAATATCGGGGTGACATGGTCAAACTTTTTCGCACCAACCACGATCTTAGCTGCCCGATTCTGAATTGACTGAAGCACAGATAACGATTTTTCTGGCAAACCATAAAATAGGCTGTTGCAGTAATCCAGTCTAGAATGAATAAACGAATGCACTAAACTTTGAATAACATCTTTGGTTAAGCTTTTCCGGATTATTTTTAATTTTCGCAGTTGTAGGGTTGCAGTACCAGATAAAAACTTGATATGTTCAGTCATTGCCAGTCTAGAATCAAAAATGACACCCAAGTTTGTAGCTTTGGGAATGAAGTTTATATTTGAGCCCTCAATGATAACTGAATTAATTTTAATTCTAGACAGCTGTTGCCAAGTTCCAACCAGAAGAATTTGCGTCTTACTTTGATTGAGTTTAAGACCATTATTTGCCATCCATTTCTCGATCTCGACCAAACATTTAACAAAACGATCAACTGCAAGATGAAAGTTGCTATAGGATTCTGTGGCGTGTAGCTGAATATCATCTGCAAATGCATGACACTCCAAACCATGTAATCCGATCGCCTCAATAATTTCAGAGGTGTAAAGAATAAACAAGATCGGTCCGAGAACCGAGCCCTGTGGAACACCAAATCTTATCGTTTGAACCGAAGAGGTCTTATTCTTGTAGATTACCTGTTGAGTTCTGTTTGTTAAGTACGACCGAAACCATTGTTCGACAGAGCCAGTTATTCCAAATCTATGATTAAGACGTTTCAGAAGAATGCAATGGTCAACACAGTCAAATGCCGAACTCATATCTAAGAATCCAAGAAGAGATGGTTTACTGTTGTTTATATTTTCATGCAACTTAGATAACACATGCAACAAAGCAGTTTCGGTAGAATGATGTCTTCTATAGCCTGACTGATATACCGGTAACAAATTGTTTTTATCTAAGTGTTTCATAAGCTCCTTAGAAACTAATCTTTCAATTAATTTTAACAAGAAAGACAGATTTGAAACCGGTCTATAATTATTAACGATCAGAATTGTCTAATTTTTCCTTTTTCAAAAGAAGAGAAATTGTAGCATGCTTTAACATAGCCGGAAACTCACCAGAACGTAAACATAAGTTTATAAGATCAGTCAAATATTTTATATATATGTATATTTATATATATCGTATGTATGCATGTATATTAGTTTGTATGTACGTATGTATGTATGTATCTATTTATGTATGTATGTTTGTATGTATGTATGTTTGTTTGTATGTATGTATGCATGTTTGTATATACAGTTTACTATGTTTGTATGTATGTGTGTGTGTGCGTATACAAATATTATTGTTCTATCATATTAGAGTTAGGTTCGACGAACGGGTTCGACCTAGAAACGTGTCGAACGTTGATGGCGGTTGCTGATGTAAGTAGGTCAAGTAATGATGATGATAATTATAATAATAATTATAATAATAATAATAACAATCATCATCAATCAGTTATCTAATCTGGCGCTATTTAACAATCAGTAACAATCAATCAATCAATCAATCAACCTACCTATCTATCCATCCATCCATCCATCTATCAACCATAGAAAAATAAAACGGGCACCCTAGACATGACAGAAATGCTACATCTATGGTCGGAAATTTGCATATGGCGGGAACTTTTTCACCAATTTGACAAGGACCGAAGCGGTCATGTCGACGTCACGGAACTGAAAACTATGTTTAAATCATTGAGTTGGTTTGTTGTGTGTGTGTGTTTGTGTGTCTGTGTGTGTGTGTCTGTGTACGTAAGTATTGGCCATTTGACAAACATCTATACCTGGCGCTATCTAAATAGAATTGAACATCCTTATTGTTGTTAATATTGTTGATGAAGAAACACGCACACACACACACACACACACACACACACACACACACACACACACACACACACACACACACAGAAACACTCACACATACAAACACACACACAAACACACACACAGATTTCAACATAAGCAATGCCGTTTTGAGGGCCATAGTTAAGAGGTACGGTGGAAAAAGGTGCAAGCTAACGTTCAACGAATTAGTGACCGTTACTTCCAAAGTCTTAACTATTATTGGTGAGTAGTAGTAGCAGCAGCATTAGTAGTAGCGGCAGCAGCAGTAGTAGTAGCAGCAGCAGCAGTAGTTGTAGCAGTAGTGGTAGTAATGATGATGATTATGATGATAATGATGATGATGATGATAACGATCTCCAGATATTTTTCCATCACTAAGTACGGACGGACTTGATGGGAAGGCCTCTTTCACATTAGATGCCGTGTGTATTCATTTGTTTTCATTCACTCACTCCGTTCATTCCTTCATTCATTCATTCATTCATTCATTCACCCATCCATTCATTCGTTCATTCATTCATTCATTCATTCATTCATTTATTCATTCATTCATTCACTCATCCATTCATTTATCCATCCATATGTTCTGAAGTGAATTTGCCACCGAATTTGAAGTGAATATGAATTATTATATTTATTTATTAATAATAAATAATAATAAATAATAATAATAAAAAATAATAAAAAATAATTTTCTCCACACGTAAATTGCAGCTCCTTCAGCTATCCATGCATTTATGAGAAGACGACGAAATGATGACATTCTTCTTCTTATTATTATTGTTATTATTATTATTACTGTTGTTATTATTATTATTGATGTTGTTGTTGTTGATATTATTGTTGTCGTTGTTGTTTTTATTGTTATGATTATTATTACCCCATGTCTTCTTGCCATTTTATATATTCAATTATTTTTATCGTGAAGAGAGAGAGAGGGAGAGAGAGAAGACATACATATATACATACATACGTACATACATGCATACATACGTACGTACATACATACATACATACATACATACATACATACATACATACATACATACATACATACATACATACATACATACATACGACAAATCAAAGTGTTAATCCATTTGTTACTTGATGTGTGACGGTTCAGTGTCACTCATCATGTTTTGGTTTTAACATACATACATACATATACATACATACATACACACATACATACATACATACACATTTACATACATACATACATATATACATACATACATACATACACATTTACATACATACATACATAAGTACTTGATGTTTGTCTGTTTAGTGTCATTCATCATGTTTTAGTTTTAACATAAGTCGATTGATCAATCAATCGATAGATCAATCAATCGATCGATCGATCAATCATTCAATTAACCAATTAATCGCCTCTTTAATTCGTTCATTTATTATTATTAATTATTATTTTTCAATCATTGTATTAAAAAAAACTTGCATACGAATGCCAAAAGTGAATTTTAATAATGAAAAAACGAAATATAACGAAAAAATATGAAATAATTATTCAAGTTGAGGGGTTAAAGTCACATCTAGTATATATATATATATATATATATATATATATATATATATATATATATATATATAATGTATATGTAATATTAATATGGTGTAAATATAGAAATTAAATTATGATTAGTACATATATTTGTACGTAAAATTAAATAAATTTCTAAAATGTGGGTCTATGTATGTAGTGAGTATTAAAAAGTATTCTTTTTCAATCAGTCAATTAATCAATTAATCAGTCAATCAATCAGCTAATCTGTAAATCAATTGATCAATCATTATACCAATCAATTAATCAGTCAGTCAACCAACTAACCAATCAATCGACCCGATCAATCAAATTACAGTTCCTTCATTTCGTCGTTAAATAATATTTATTAAAAAACCAACTAAAACAACGAACTACCATTAGAATTTAACGTTTTAAAAAATATATAAATAATTAAACCAACCAATCAGCCACTCAATTCGTCAAACAATCAATTAACGTGTCAATAAACCAATCAATTAATCAATCAACTTGTCAACTCATCAGTTCAATCGATAAGTACTCCACCGAATCAATCGAACTCATTGTCAAACCCATTCGATCTGATACTATCATTCTTCCCTAATTCAGAAATTCTGTTTGCGGCAAATCCTTCAATGGCACCTGTCCTCTTAAACTGATTCAACTCCATCATGGAGTCAAAGAGGTGGATTTTAAATGGACTACCGGGAACATGTTGGCCGGACCATTTGATGTCCAGAATGTATAATCCCACTTCCGTTGGGTTGTATCTGGAGTGTTGGTGTTGTTGGTTTTATACTTTTGTGTTGTGCGTGCGTTTGTATGTGTGTGTGTGTGTGTGTGTGTGTGTGTGGACGTGTGTGTTGTTATTATTATTAACCTGCAGTGAATAGTTCTGTTGTTCATGGGATCTCTCCTCATCTCAATTCTAAACGTGTCTGTAAAAAAAACGAATAATTATAATAATTATCAAAATAATTATTAATATGTTATTATTATTATTAATATCATTTCTATTATTATAGTTATAATGGGAACATCTTTTATTTTTCACCATAAAAAACATACAATGATAAAATATATATATATATATATATATAAGTTAATGTTAATTAAATAATGCGCAATGATAAAATTTGTAAAAATTGTATAAAATAATATATTAAAGGTTAATAAGAATAATTATTATTATCATCTCACCCTTTCTTCCTCGCATTCTGACGGTCAGCTGTCCAGGGCCAGCCCCCTTCGTCTCCACCGTGAAGGAGTTGTCGAACGTGGCCAGGACGCCATCTTGGACGCCCTTTCCGGTTACGACAACTTTGGAGGGGTCGATTGGGCCGGCTATACGAATTGTCGCCGGACAGTCTAGTGATTCGGGTTTTAGAGGTTATTAATATTTTTTAAGAGCAAGAAAGGGAAAAAGAAAGAGAGAAAGAGAGAGAGAGAGAGAGAGAGAGAGAGAGAGAGAGAGAGGATAGCTGGAAGAGAAAGAAAAAGATACACACACACACGTACTTGGAATCATGACTCCGGCATACAGGAAGTGCAAGAGGTGTGGCCCTGGCTCCTCTGGGGTGAATGAAACATTGAAAAGGCCCTCTGCCACCTCCTCCACCTTGCACTGAGTGAACTTGTTGGGCCCTTTGCATGTTGCTTTCAATTCGTCTGTAAGTGAGAAAGTGATGAGAAAGTGAAAGGAGAGAGTAAGGAGGGGAAGAGAGAGATTGAGAAAATAGTGTAAAAAAAATTTAAACAAAACACACGAAAGGTTCTCTACCTTTTCCTGCGTTCTTTGCATCAACCATGACGTTGATTGGCTGGCCGACTATGCCGCCATTTGTGAATACATCTCCGGAAAATGTGACCTTGCTAGGGTCAACCGATGACATCACGGCGACCTTGAAAGGAGAGCCCGGTATTGGCTGATCAGACCACGTGACATTCAGCAGGTAGGCCCCTAATTTTAAGTTTGTTCGTATGCGAGGTTAAAAAAGGTTCGATTGACAGAATGATAATAATTCAGAAACGACAGATGAATTACAGTGAATGAATTATAATGAAAGAATGAATGAGTTATGAAGACGAGCAACCTTGAACTTTGGGAATGTACGAGCAGACGTATCTCTTCTCTCCAATGTCAGTGCTGTGAACGTCAACTGCGTTCGTGATGCCCACCAACTGAGCTTTCAAGAAACCTTTGAACAATAAATTCATTTTTTTTATTTCTTCATAATTTGTTCATAATTATTGATAATTGAACAAACTGATTAATTGATTGATTGAAATTAAGAGTACTAAATTAACGAATGCAAAATCGGAAGAAAGCACTGCTAACATGGTCTAATTGATTGATTGAATGCAGTGCATCTACATTAAAAAGGACAAGGAACGTTAAAAAATTTATGAAAACAAATGAAAAACAGCAAAATAAGAACAACGGAAAACGACAAACAAACGAACAAACAAACGAACGAACGAACCATGTCCAGCATTGGAACAATCCACCATGAACTCAGCAGCCTTCCCGCAATAAGCTTGCGTCAGACCGCCGCCCAATGCAATGGCATTCTGGGCTATGCACGGCTTAATCCTCTCGCGAGGTGGCAGGGGAGCTGAATCTTCGGGCTCGTCCACAATGGACATGAATTCCGTGTAGGTGGTGGCAACGGATTCTGGGGTGGTCCTCTGAACAGTTTTCGCGATCGTCTGCTTCTTCTTTTTGTAGTAGATATCTGCGTTGGTTGCCTTGACAGGTGGATGTACACTTATTTTGAACGGGCAACCTTTAACTTGAAGGCCGTTGGTTATCAAGGTCAGCGAGTAGGTTCCTGGGTTGAGTTGAATCAGTGATTGCAGTTAGTGGATTGAGTTTTATCGAAGTAACAATGGTTAGAGAAATATATCTGGCGAAATGAAATAAATAACTAGTGGGGCAAAAAACTAAGTAAGAATTAATTAAAGAAATGAAGAGTTGAAATGCGACCTACCAGGCTTGCTGACCAAATACGAGCCCTTCCATCTGCCGTCACAAACCTCGTGGAACCTGACAGCCACTTCTTCGTCGACACCATGCATGTGGGCTATCGGTTCGTCTGATCAAGTCGTCAGTTCATTGGTTAGTTGATTTGAATAATTAGTTGATTTATAACTTATTATTAAAAAATATTTAAAAATCAATCGAAAAACCTCTCGATCCATCGACAACAAACTCGGCCAGATCGTTCAATTGGGCCCCCATCAGACCGGGACCACTGGCGACAGCTGAGCTGAATGTCGTCGGCTTCATGGCTATGCTCTCGTTATCCTCATCATCAGAGTCGCCGTGATCAGTCTTTGGTGGTTTCGCGAAAACTTTCCCGGCATGCATGGGTACAACGATGGGCGTGTTGACGATTTGAGCTGGAACTATCAGTGGAGGAAGTTGGTGGATGTTGGGGTTCTTGGAGTCAGGCTGAATGACCACTTTGAAGGGAGAGCCAGGAATCTGAACGCCCTTGATAGAGAGGCTCAACATGTAGATGCCTGGTTGTGCAGTTGTTCACTTCAATGGTCAGTAGTCAGTGATTGGGTGAATTAAGCAACCAAACAGCCAAACAACGGTCAATCAATCAACAACCAGCCAGCCAATCAGCCAGCCAACCAACCAACCTGGTTTCTGGGCCACATAGGAACATTTGTACCTGCAGTCATCGACACGGAAGCACCTGACGAACACCTCACAGTCACATCCATGCATTTGAATCTCGGGGACATCTGTATTTTAAAAAATTCAACCAATCAAAAAAAAATCAAAAACTCAAATTTTAAACTTTTGACCAGTCAAAATCATGTAAAACTTAAATTTTAAAATCTCAGCTATTGACAACCAACCAGGGCAGGAGTCAATAACGAATTCCGTCATCTGATTGGCCTGGCCAAGGTACAAGCCCTGCCCCATGGCGACGGGCTGCTGACGAACAATTACTTGAGGTTGTTGTTGTTGTAGAATTAGTTGAGGATGTTGGGGCTGCTGAAGGATGAGTGGCGGTTGTTGTACCACACCGATCGGTATCGGTTGCGGGCGTTCTATAAACACCGGTGCACCGTGAACCGTAACTTTGAATGGCGATCCGGGTATTTGGTTTCCATGACAGGTGATGCTCAACAGGTAAACACCTGTGATTGGTAGATTGATAAATAAACGACTGATTGATTGGTGGATTGAATTGATAATTGATTGGTTGGTTGGTTGATTGATAAATGATTGGTTGGTTGCAACACTTGTCATTTGATGACCTGACTTTTCTTACGTTTTGATTCACTAATATTAAACACAATGAACGTATTCAAAGCGTGCGCAAAAAGCGTGCACAATAAAATGTGTACAGTTCTGTACACAAAATACCTACCAGGTGCCTGTGGTACATAGGCGCATTTGTACCTGCCTTCTGCCAGCTTCACGTACTTAACTGGCACCTCGCCATTCACACCGATCATCACTATCTGTGGTTCGGCTAGTAAATATTATTATTGTAATTATTAGCTGGTCAAATTATTATAATTTCTGTTGAATGTCAAAGTTCAAATGTAAAAGTTATTTTTAGATATTATGTTGAAAGAACAAAACATTGAAAAAACTGCAAAAAAAAAAATTGTACTTGGTCCTGCGCCATCTAGCATGAACTCGGCCACAGAATTCATTTCTGCGCATGTCAGGCCGGGACCAATAGCAACAGGCTTGCAGGCGTCCGGACAACTTTTGCCGTCCGAATCGAAACATGGCCGCCCGTCGTCACTACCGACCAAAACTTTGAATGGAGAACCTGGAACTTGGAGGCCCTGGTAGCTTATGCTGAGTAGGTAGACTCCTGATTGGTGGATTGGTGGATTGATTGGTTGGTTGTTTAGTTTAGAGGTCACAAATTTGTCTACAACAAATGAAAACCACAAAATTAAATACCAAAATAGAACATCTTTTTCAACTACAACAACAACAACAACTACTACTACGGTTACTACAACTACTTCTAGAAATACCACTACTACAAAACGAACCAGGACTTGGCGGGATGTATGAGCATTTATAAAGAGATGTTCCATTTCTGGATGTCGTAACGTTAACTTCACCCGAAGCTCCGAAAAGTTTCACAATCGGTTCGGCTGTTTGTATGTTTGTTTGTGTGTATGTTTGTGTGTATGTATGTATGTTTGTTTGTGTGTATGTATATGTGTGTGTGTATGTATGTATGTATGTGTGTGTACGTATGTATGCATGCATGTAGTAGGTATTTAAATATACACTGCGATTCAAAATTATGATGAAAAAAGTAAAGATAATAATAAATAAATAAAACTAATATAGATATTAATTTTTATTATAATAACCACAATGATTAAACGATTTATGATTAATTAATTGATTGAATGAATGATCGATTAATTGATTAACTAATTAATTAATTAATTAATAGGCTAATTGAAAAGTAAACGAAATGTATGTACAAAACATTAGAAACAGAAGCTTTTAAAGACACACTTTTTCACCGAACACACGTACGCACAAAAAAAATCATAATCTCAAAATAATAATAATAGTTAATTAATAATAAAAATTAATTAATTAATAATATTAACTTTAAAATTGTAATAAGAATAATAGGAAATCGATCCGAGTCTAAGAAATCGAACCAGAAGTACACATATTATCGACATAATTAGTAAATCACGACTCATTGTATGTGCAAATATCTAAACTATTTGTAAGATCATAATCACGTATGTACAATAATTTCGGCGGGAAATTTTCTTGGTGGGAAAATATTTGGCGGGAAATTTTTTAGCGGAGGAACTTACGACGCTTATAATAGATTTTTACCGTTCTTTTTGCTATAAATCGTGCCAGAAAGCACCTTCCTTTGTGGACTGTGGTTGGTGGTAGACAATAGAGATGAAGAAGATGTTGTTGATGATGATGATGATGATGGTGCTGATAATGATGTTCTCATTGAGGAAGGTGAAGATAATGATGATGATAATATTGACTGAAGATGACGACAATCGAACTAATGATCAAAGTTGTTAAAATGGAAATAATTGAAACGATTTGAAAGTTTCCTGAATAATAATTGTTAGGTGCATCTTAGCGTAATTTAATATCATTGATGGAATCACCAACAAATGATGTTAATGTGGAAAACTCGTAAACAAAGCACTGCACACTTTCTAATCGTTACAAAATTCCTCGTTTTAAACAGCACTATTCATCTAGCCAAACAATCAACCAATCAATAATTCACCCACTCGATCAATCAACCAACCAATCGATCAATCACCCATTCAGCCAATCAATCAACCAACCGACCGACCGACCAACCCGAAACGGCGCCATCTATGCTAAACTCTGACACCTTGGAAGTGGAACCGCAACTCGTCCCGAGGCCAGACACGACGATCGTCTTTCGCTCAACCTCCGGCGGTTTGACGTCTTCAACGACGATCTTGAACGGCGAGCCAATGACTTGAGAGCCGTTGCAGGCTATGCTCAACAGATACACGCCTGTTGGTTGGAATAAATTATGATGATTAGTTATTGTTTTTGTAATAAATTATGATAATGAATAAAACTGCGATAACGTGAAGTGACGAATTGGAAGATAAATTTAATGATGGTTAATAAGATGAGGCAGAAAGATTGCGGCCACTGCCCCCCTCCCACCACCAGCAGCAGACCAACCAGGTTTTTCAGGGGTGTAGGCGCATTTGAACCGTCCCTCGCCGATTTTCATGGCGTGAACAGGAATGTTGTCGGCCACTCCAGCCAGCAGAACTTGCGGCTCGTCGTCGAAGCATCCGTCGATCAAAAACTCGGCAACTTGATGCAGCGTGGCGTTCGTCAGACCCGGACCGAGCGCAATGGCGCAGACGGGCCTCAAAATTTCAGGATTCAAAATTTCTTTCGTTTCCGGTGAAACAATTACGACAGACGGTGGAGGAACTGGTGGATTTCTTGGCGGGAAAACAGGATCTGGGCAGCGGGCGGGGAAGTTGTCTTGCTCGGAGGTGACCAACACTCTAAACGGAGAGCCGGAGATGTGGTTGTTGTTTGATTTGACTGACAGCTGGTACTCCCCTGGAATGTGCGGCATGTAAGAACAGAGGTACCTCCCGTTCCCCATGTTCAATGATCGTATGAGGACCTCGTTACCGCTTCTACCGACCATTTGCACTTGTAGGTTTTCAGCTTTTTGATGATAAAAAAAATTTATTTATTTTTCAAGTTATGTGTTTGAAAATATTGCATGGTGCAAACGTCTGTATGCACGATAAATGAAATGAAAGACTGTTGTACATGTACAACACTATTTTACACAACAACGTTACACAACAACGACCAACCAGCTCCAGCTCCATCAATGATAAATTCAGAAATCTTATCGAGACAGCCTTGAGACAGACCAGGCCCTATAGCCACGCAGGTTCTCGACGGGTGAAATTCTTCAACTGTGGGGGGTACGACAACTTTGAAGGGCGATCCTGGAAGTTGGAAGCCACAGCAGGAGATAGACAGGAGGTAAAGTCCAGGTGCGGTTGGTGTGTAGCTGCATTTGTATCTATCTTCGCCGATTATTGAACTTTGAACTGCGAGGTCACCTGTCAGTCCGATCATCTTTATTTCTGGACTGTCTGCTCGGTTGTTTCAGTTTAATTTATTACTTTTTTAATTTGGGTAGATTTTATTGATTTGGAGTAATTTTATTTTAGTGGCCACGCAAAATCGCCGCACGACAACCAGCCACACGACGACCACACGACAACCAGCCACACGTAATTACAACCACACAAACGAGACGCCAACTAACCACAAGCTCCATCAATGAGGAACTCGGCTGTCTTTCCGACATTTGCGTCAGACAGACCAGGTCCAATAGCAACAGCTGTTTTGACGGGGCAGGGTTGGAGAGGCGGCTCATCACAACCGACCGTGACCTTGAAGGGTGACCCGATGATTTGGCAGTCACCGCACGATACGGTCATTAGATAGACCCCTGTTTTTGTTTCGACATTATTTTCACTTTTTTTTAACTTCAAATTTTTTATCAACGACGGATAAGCACTTTGTCATACTATATTTCAACATTTAAACACGTCTTAAACTTTTAACTTCTTACGTATACAAATATGCATGCAAACAAACATACATACAAATAAACAAATAAAAAAACACAAACAAACAAACAAATAAACAAACAAACAAATACCGCATGCGTGGGGTATGTAGGTACATTTGTATGTACCCTCGTCCACTTTCTGGCATTGTACGATGACGTCACCGGCCGTTCCCGCCATTGTCACCACCGGTTCTTTGCCTATTTGCATGTACGTGTGTGTATGTGTACGTGTGTGTATGTGTACGTGTGCGTGCGTAAGTATGTGTGAATTATTGTTATTATTAATTGAAAAACTCGCACGGCGCCCGTCATGACGTTGAAATTGTTATCTGAAGTACACGCACACGTACAATTAGAATACAAAATTAAACGAGATAAAAATGAAAAAAGCAAGATGAAACTAACAATTAAAGACTCCCTCCATCATAAACTCCGCCCTCTGCCCAACCTGTGCCACACTCAGACCCTGACCCGTGGCAAAAGGTTTCTGGAGTAGCAGAACCTCCGGGCCATTTTCAGCCACGTTGACTTTAAAGGGAGATCCAGGGATTTGGGAGCCACAGACGCTTATTATCAAGATGTGGACGCCTGTCCTCGTCAGTAGGTGTTATTGTCATTGTCATTATATTATTCTCCTCATCATATTAGTACTTTAACAGTTATAAGCAACATCCATCATCATCACGAACATCATAATCAATACCATAATCACTATCAACATCACCATCATCAACACCATCATCATCAGCACTATCATCATCATCAGCAGTACCTGACGCCTGCGGGATATAGGAGCATTTGAACCTGCCATCCGCGATCTTGACGCACTGAACAGGGACGTCCATGGCCGACCCGTACATTTGCACCATCGGCGTGACTGCCATGATGATGATGATTGTGATGGTGATTGTGATGATGATGATGATGGTGGTGGTGATTGTGATGACGATGCTGAAAAAAATTGTGATAGATAGGGTTAAAATGGCAAATACATCGACAACAAAACTCTCTACAAATAACCGCCCAAACAACACCCGTCTCAAAACCCCCACTTACAATCTTGACATCCATCAATGAGGAATTCTGCAAGCCCATTAACTTGCGCCCCCGAAAGGCCAGGCCCTATGGCGACGACCTTGCTTGCGTCCCCGATGCCTGCAACTGCCACGTTCTGGCCCATGCATTCGAATTTGAATGGGGACCCGGGAATGTGTTTGCCGTTGAAAGCCACACTCAGTGTGTGTGTTCCTACGAGTGGGTATGTGTGTTTGTGTGGATGTGTTTGTGTGTGTGTGGATGTGTGTGTGTGTGTGGATGTGTGTGAATGTGTTTATGTGTGTGTGTTCCTACGCCTGTGTTTGGATGTGTTTGTGTGTGGATGTGTTTGTGTGTGTGTGTGGATGTGTGTGTGG